AGGACCTCTCGCTCACGCCGCCGCCGCCCATTGAGAGGAGAGGATTTGGGATTAAGGGTTTGGGATTTTTGGGTGGAGGGGAAATTTGGCTATCCCGGGCTCGATCTGATACAGGCGGTCCGGCTGGACCTGCTCGCGAGGATGACCTGGCGCGTCCGGTGTATGAGAAACGTACACAGGACTGTACGTGTACCCTAATCGCGTGTATGTGGACTGTTTTGGAGCGATTCGCGAGTTCCAGGACTGTTTTGGAGTGGGTCGACGAGTTCCAGGACCGTGTGTGTAATTTACTCCTCCGAGAGGGGCCTGAACTCGTAAACACTTGCGTACAATCTCACCGTAGCTAGGACCTTGCCTCCTCATACGTACCCCCTACTTTTACTGTCAGTCTTAGTATCACGACAGACAATGCTCATCGATGGCAAGCTATACGTGGTGATGGAGCGGCAGGGGTACTACCGGACTCCCGATCGGATGCTCGTCATTGACATGGCTACTGAGGCACGCCGCATGTCGCGCCTCCCGGTGGACTCCGGCGTGCTGTTGCCGACGGCTCATGTGCAACCCTTCGAGCTGTGTGGCGAGTTGTGCATCGCCGTGCGCGTCGCCGATCAGCAGAAGCTCACTTTCTGGGTCGTGCCACCTAAGGATCACATGGACGACGGCAGGGAGCTGCGCTGCACCTTCCACGTGAATGACGACAACAACGACCCGCCAAGCAGTGCCTGGTTCGATGACGGCGACGACCCACCAAACGGCGCCTGGTTCAACGCCGGCGACGGCATGCTGTGTTATAGGTTAGGTGATATTCTCCACCAGTACAAGATCAAGGCAAATGAGCAGAGAGCCATAGCGGGCGGTTTCTCGAAATGGGAGCATCGGATCCAGCTGCCGACAACTCTAGCACAATCGGAATTCGACTGGAAGAAAACTGAGGAGAATCGGTGGAACGTCTATAGTGGCTACCGTCCCAGCTTGCTCTCACCCCGAGTTGCCTTTGCCTCGTTTTTGCCCTCGATGCTGCAAGACTTCGAGCACGCCTTGGTGGAATGTCCGCGGAGCCACCAACAATCAGGGAATAAGCGACGCTCGACCGATCACAATAATGATGACTTTTCTGTCAAGAGGATTCGTGAGGCAATTTAGCAAACAACAGAGTTCTGCTAGTATCTGTTAGCAAGATTAAAATCCGGGGAGAAACAATTTCATGGCTGCCTTTGTAGTAGCTATAGTGGACGTCATAGCGGCAATCGCGGCAATTTTTCAGGTGGGAGAGATGATTTCTTGAGGTTTTTGCTGATTTCGGAGCGCCATTTAGAGAACATTGTCAAGGATTTCGCAGCAGCAGCCATGGCATGGAGGCGAGGCTCCCGGGCAGCTATAGCACAGCTAGCACGATTATTTTGTGGGGAATTTAATTTCGTGGCACGACCCTGATTGTTCTTTTGTCAACTACAAAAATATGAAACATAGATAAGATTACACCACTAGTCGAATAGGGTCGTGCCACGAAATTAAATTCCCCACAAAATTTGATAGTCAAGATAGAATTTAGGCTACAGATAAGATTGCACCACTAGTCGAATAGCCTAAAATTTGAAGGTTATGATTTTTTCCTCCCATTGCAGTACACGGGTCCTTTTGATAGTTAAGATAGAGAGACTAAACATCTTTTTTTAGGCTACAGAGACTAAGCATTGCCTCCCATATTTCTTCAATGATTTCTTTGTGCGATCTCATCGCTTGAGTAATTCATTAAGGCAATGAGTTGAGGCAAGGCCTTGCAACCCTATGTATTTGTGCATGGATCATTGAAATGATTTTGCTTGATTGAGGTTATTTGTATGTATGATTTGCAATAGAGTTGTCTTTTGTCTTCTTTTCATTATAAGGCCCTGCAAGTACCCATGTTCCTATAGATCGATCAAGGAGGAGTTAAGAAGCGATGATGTGTGGAACACTATTCTAATAACCAGAAATGATTGATACGGTAGTAAAAAATAATTCATTGGAGATAAACGAGGTGTAGTCATTAAACGTCCAATGCTTTGTTTGAAGTAATTCTTAATAGCTGAGGTAACCCCGCACGACAATAAGGGCCGACGATTGGACGACTGACTCTCGATTCAAGTCGTGACCCGTTGTAACATATTTTGGACACATCCCTCACTTCATCATCATGTTGTGAGCACACTGTAACGGGTGTCTTCCAGGACTATGTTTAATATCAAGATGAGATCCCAAGCACAAATGAAGGGCGTGAGAGTAAGATCTTATACATATGGATATTTCCTTATCATTAATAAACCAAGGAAGGCATCTTTCGAACTATGGTAAGCTTGGGAATAAGGGCAACCAAACCACCAGTTGGAAGCCGAGAAGCATCAACAAAAAACTGGCGGAAAATGCACGCTGCTGACAAGGGATAAATTCCACCATGATCTCAAGTAGCTGCAAACAAGTATTGAATCAAGATATCATCAAATTGATCGATGCAGGGCCAGATTCAGATACAGGTAAATATATGTACACACTTACATTTATAAAAGTGGTAAGACTTTTAGCAGCAAACCCATAATCAAATTTCATGTTATCCACCAGTTATTCATCCTGTAGAAATCAAGGCCACTTCAGCTGAAATGTGACATAATACAAATGAAATCAAGATGGAGAGACCAAACATCTTTCTTTTGGGGTACAGAGATTAAGCATTGCCTCCCATATTTCTTTGAGGTGAAAGTATTTGGAGCGGTGAGATTTCAAAGACCTAAAACCTGGCTAAACCCTGCTAGATCATCCAGGCCGTTCGAACACATCTGCTGGAAACGGACGGTGGATATGAGGGGGCAGGCGGCCCCATAATTTCAAAGCATTTTCGAAGAGCAGCGGAGGGAAAAGAAAACCAAATCGATCCCCATTCTATTACGAACCAGCCACCAGCCCACCACCATGGCCTCGCCGCCGCCGCCGCCGACCACCGTCCGCCGGAACCCTCCCCGCCGCGGCAGGCCGGCCCTGACCCCGGGCCCGACCCCCGCCCCGGCGCCGACCCCGACCCCGACCACGGCCACTCTCCGCTCCCGCCGCCGGAAAGCCCCGGTCATCTCCCGCCTGCTCGACGACGAACCCGCCGCGGCGGCGGCGGCCGCAGCAACTCCAGCGGCCCCCGCTACCCCTC